CACGCCGCAGCATAATGCTACCGTGGAGCGACGCGGAGGCCAGTGGAAGGTGCACGCGAGGAAGCTGATCGACCAGTTCAGCATCAGGTTCGACCAGACCGCGGTCGCTCACAAGGTCCAGTGGCTGATCGCCTCCGTGTGCTGGGCCATGAACAGCCAGGTCAACTCCACGGGCTACTCGCCGTCGCAGTGGGTGCTCGGGCGAGGCCTTCGCCTTCCGTACTGCTTGCTGGACAACGCTGGAAGGCTGTCCTTGCACGAGCGCATCGTGTCCGATAAGCCGTTCTCGGAGAGGATCGCCATCGTGAAGGCCGCGCAGACCTCCGCGCAGCAGCTCAGGTTCAACCAGTCCCTCTCCAGGGCGTTGCTGGCCCGGTCCCGGGCAGATGGAGCTCGGCACGCCAGCGACGTCTACCAGACAGGCGACCAGGTGTACTACTGGAAGGGGCATCGGCAAGCCCAAGCGCGGATGGGCTTTGCAGTGGCACGGGCCCGGCATCATCATCGGGTTCGAGGGCACCTCGAACGTCTGGGTCAGCCACCGCTCCGCTACCGTGAAGGTCAACCGTGGACACCTACGCCGCGCCACGGCCACGGAGCTCGCGCCGAGGGGCCAGGTGCTGAACGCGCTGAACAGCAACCAGCCGCCAGGCCCACCGCCAGGCGCCCCGCCAGGGACCTCAGGGCCCGCGCCTCCTCCGGACTCTGGAGGAGGCGGCGGCGGTGCAGGCGGCGGCCCTCCGCCGCCCGGCCCAGGCGGAGGAGGGGGACCTGCTGGACCCGCGCCGCCAGACGCAGACGAGGACATGTTCCTCGACCTGACCGGACCGGCGCCGCAGAAGCGCCCCCGCAGTGAAGGCCGGCCTCCAGCACCGCCCGCGCTACCAGCACCAGCACAGCAGCCAGCCATCGCGCAGCACAATTTCGGCAACATTGAGATGTCCGCAGCAAATCAGCGCATTCATCAGTACCATGAGTGGCTGGCCCGCCGTCAAGGTGACGGTGATTTCACGACTAGTGGAGGAGCTAGCGGCAGTGGAGGATCGGCCCCACCGCCCTCGGGAGGAGCCGTGCAGCAGCAGCCGCCGCTGCCGCCGCCAGCGGAGCCGCAGTCGCCAGCGGAGCCGCAGCCGCCACCTGCGGCAGCCGACCCGCCGGCGCCAGACTCAGGCGGTGCTGCCGCCCCTGCGGATGCCGCTGCTCTTGCCGCCGAAGAATTTCAACGTCCTGAACCCGCGCCTCAGGGCCCAGTTGACGCCGACGAGGACGACAAGCAGTCCGACAGTTCCGGATCGGACATGATTCGGGAGTGGGTTCAGATTGCGGAGGAGCAGGCGCGCCAGGAGACCATGGCACGCCGCCCACTGGACACCGAGGACCAGCGCGGTACCAGGACGCAGCGCCAAGTTCGACAAGAGAACGCACCAGTGGCACTGCGGCGTGACCGCCAGCAAGAGCTCGACCCCCGCGAGCGCGCCGCAAAGCGCAAGGAGCTACTGAACGACCTGCCTCAGTGCTTCAAGAGGCCGAGGGACACGAACAAGGTCGACCTCTACCTGGACAACTACTTCCAGAAGCACGCGGACGAGCTCTACGCTAGTACACGACTCCGTGAGGCACTGCTCACGGGGAACGCCACCGCCAAGGAGCTCAAGTACGACACGTTGAGCGCCACCGAGAAGAAGAACATGGACGCCGCCATGAAGACCGAGTGGTCCAAGTGGACGGAGTTCGGCGCCTACAAGAAGTTCCCGCCCAAGGAGCTGAAGGAGCTCCTGCGGCGCAACCCTGGCATTCGCCCTGTGGGCACGCGCTGGGCGCTGACCAGCAAGGGCTTGAACGTCATGAAGGCTCGCCTGTTCGTGCAGGGCTGCCAGGGGGACAAGTCGCAGATCAGGACGGACGCGCCTACGGGATCCAGGGACGCGCTGTACCGGACCCTCGCTGCCGCAGCCCAGAAGTGCTGGGATCTCTCGTCCTACGACGCGATGACGGCCTACCTGCAGTCGGGTAACATCGAGAGGCTGCTGCTCCTTCGCATGCCGGCCAAGAACCCGCCGCCGGGGATGCAGCCCGGCGAGATTGCCATGGCCACAGGCGCGATCTACGGGACGCGCGACGCTGGGAGGCAGTGGTACCTCTACGCGCAGAAGGTCTTCGCCGAGCATGGCCTTGTGGAGAGCAAGCTCGAGAAGGGCCTCTACTACTTCTACGACGAAGGTGGGCTCGCCGCTGTGGTCCACTCTCATGTGGGCGATTTCCTGATCGCCCAGCGCAGCAACTCCGCGAAGTGGAAGGCTACCATCGCCTCGCTGGGGAAGAAGTTGCACCTCAAGCAGGTCGAAGGGGTCATCAAGTACTGCGGACGCACCATCACCGAGCTCGACGACGAGTTCCCTGCAGGCCACCGCTGCAGCGCAGGTGGACTTTGTCGACCTGAAGGCCACCAAGGGCCGAGGTGCCGAGGACCGGCTCACCGCCACCGAGGTGACGAGCTACCGCCACACGCTCGGGCAGCTGTTGTGGTTGGCGGTGCAGACCCGGGTAGACATAGCCTGCCCAGTGAGCTTCGCAGCTCGCCGCACCAACGTCGCCACCGTGGCCGACGCGAAGACGCTCAACAAGACGGTTGCCTACGTGCACTCCACCGCGAACTTCGCGATCGTGCTCAAGCGCAAGCTCGTCGACCTGGAGACGGCCGTCACCGCGTGCTTCAGCGACGCCGCGTTCGCCAACGTGGACGGCGTCAAGAGCCAGTGGGGCATGGTGATGGGGCTCACCCACCGCCCGCGCGACGTCGTCGGTGGTCGCTACGGCCTGTGTCTGCCAGTCGCCTGGCATTCCGGCACGGTCAAAAGGTCTGAAGTCGACCCTCGCCGCCGAGGGCTACGCCACCCTCGAAGGATCGGAGACCAACATTTGGTTCCGACAGCTGCTCACCGAGGCCTACAAATCCAAGACGGCGCTCAAGCAGATTGGCGTGCTCGCCGACAAGCGCCCGGGGGAGATCTACAGCGACAGCAAGGGCCTCGTGTCGCACATCCAGTCCGATGTGGGCCAGTCTACGGACAAGCGGTTCCGCATCGTCGCCTACATGATCAAGGAGGCTGTGCATCCCAACAGTGCGCTCAAGCTCAGTTGGATCCCGACCTGGGCCATGGTCGCGGACGCCCTGACGAAGGCCATGGAGGCCGGCGTCCTGCTGTCGTTCTTCGGGGCCCGCAAGCGCACCTACGGGGCCCGTCAGCCGCGCGCCGCCATGCTCGCCTCGGTGCTGTTCACCTGCCTCGGCAAGGTCAAGGGACAGCCAACGCCGACGCCGACGACGCCGGACTTCAGCTACTACCTGTGCCTGCTGACGTTCGCGCTGTTCTACGGCATGGCCATCGGGTTCGGCATCTTCATGATGCTGTGGACGATCATGAGGCAGAACCACACGATTGCCACCGAGCAGAGCGTCGCCGAGGCCAAGGCCATGGGCGAGCTCCCTGGCTGGGACGGCCGCCTACTGGGCCGGCGCCGCAACATACCGACGATCCGTGAGGACCGCGACTATGACGGCGATGTCATCATGCAGCCCCCTGGAGGCGCAAGCAGTGTGAGTTCAGCGACATCGGCGTCTGGCGTGTCTTTCGGACACCATCCATCGCAGCCACCAATTCCAGCATTTCCAGCACTGCAGCAGCCGCCGATGCCGCCAACACCGCCACCTTCCAGTGCGTCGCCATCACCGTGCGCGGCAACATCGACCCCGGGATTGGGACGATCGAGGTCAGCAAGGGCCTCACGCAGCTCAGGCAGCTCGGCACCTACATCGCCAAGCATCGTTTCCGTGACGAGCTCATGGAATGCGATCAGCGCCAGTGGAGTCCAGTGGCACGGGTCGTCGCCTACGGTAGAGCCCAGCGACCTGCTTGATTGCATCGGCGACCGGCACGACTTCGTGGTCGGCCACAACTCGCACAGCGTATACATCATTTGCAAGAGCTGCAAGAAGCACGCGTCTTGGCTGACCCGTCGCTATCGCAACAGCAACCCGGATTTCACGATCTTCCCGCCGGGCGTGATGCGCGACCTCATGGGTAGATGGCGCAAGATCACAGGCCGAGAGTGCGGGCGAGGATCAGATCTGACGGACAAGCCGATGAAGCCCAAGAAGGGCGACTGATCCATGCCGCTGTCCAGACTGTCGTGATTTTTCACCGCGACCTTGCTTACGTAAGTCCGCATTGCCGTTTCAGACTTCACACCTGGTGAACAGATTAACACGTAACTCCGCATTTCAGAAGATTCAGTTCAGTGTGCACAGTTTTTGATGTGATGACGATCGCACCCATTCAGATGGCTCTTTTGAGTTCTGTCGCCTCGCGATCGGACTCTAGCCATGCCTTGTCTTTGATTATAGCGCCGGCGGCGCTGAGAGCTGTTGAATACCCTGCAGGTCGCGTGTAGCGCATCCGCTTAAGTGCCCCGACGGGCTGCCTGCGATTGCAAGCCGTGTCGAGCCGTTTGCTCGCCTTCTGCCAGCGCGCCTGGCCTCCGCCTAATGAAGCTAGCGCCAGGCTTATATGCCCGGCTGCTCACGGCGCATCGTGTGCGTCCGCCCGCTGCTTTTGAGCACCGTGCAGGAGGAGTGTGATTCCAGAAGACTCGCTGCTCTTCTCACTCGCTCTTTGCTGACGCTGCTCAGCTGTCCAGGGTCTCTCTGCCGCCGCCCGTTTGGCTCTAATAATTTTAGGGTCCTTGGCTGATTGAGCTACGATCCGCTCTGCGAGCGTTTCCAAACGATTGATCCGCGATCTTTCCATATCACAGTAGGGAGGAGGGAGGAGGCAGGGAGGGAGGGAGGGATGGAGGAAGATGAGGAGGAGAAGGAGGAGGGGGAGGGAGGAGGAGGAGGAGGAGGAGGAGGAGGAGGAGGAGGAGGAGAGGAAGGAGGAGAGGGAGGAGGAGGAGGAGGAGGATCGATGCTTCCTACCCTGAGCCAGTCCCCCATCAAGGCTGGTCAGCCTCTGCAGGGCTGTGGGCGTCGTGCGGGCCGGCGCCCCGATCCAGGGCGCTGGCCCGACGCTGGGCGTCCCGACGGTGAGTGGCTCGACGGTGGTCGTGGGTCAACCACATATTTGTATCCTCGGCCTCACGGGCGGGGCACCAGGCCCCTTCAGAAACGTTGCCCATGAGAGTTGACGAGGAAAGGGGCGAATAGAGACACACACACACACATACATGCATATGTATACACATATACCTGTATCCATACAGATAACTTGAGATGTATCCATATACATGTATTGAAACAGAGCTGGCTACCAGGATGATCAGAGAGCTCTCTTGGAGCAAGGGGGTGGCCTTGGAGGACCTCTTAGGGTTATCCCTGGGGCCTGCGGGGGCGCGAGGGGAGAAGGAGGAGGAGGAGGAGTAGGAGGAGGATGATACAAACCGTCTCGTGCGGCCATCGTGGGATGCTGTTGGGGTGCTCTTGGCCGCTCTTGGGGCCGTCTCGGAGCCGGCTTGGGCTTCTTTTGGGCCGCCATCCTGTAGGGCACCGATCCAAGAAGGGGGGGGTCCTAAATTTCCGCCCCCCCTCCCACCTCTCCAAAGAGCCCTCGAAATTGTATCTTGAGGCGCTGTATGGGGCGCTCGTGGGCCGCGGTTGGGTGCTCCGGGGCCGTCTTGGGGGCCTCCTCGGCCACTGTTGGGCCTCTTTCGGGCCATATTTGGGCCTTCGTGGGGCCTCAAAGCCGCATCGAAAGCGAAAAGGCGAGAAGACGCAATTCATGTCGCCAAAATAAGTTTTGAAGGAATTTAGCTTCTCAGGGGTCCTTGAGGGGGCCCCGAGAGCATTTGAAACCGTATTACGGCCCTCGTCGGGCCTCTTAGTGGTATGTCGGAGGCTATCTTGAGTCATGTTCGGCTATCTTGAGCCTTTTTGGGGGCCATCTTGGGCTATCTTGGGCTTTCTTGGGGCCATCTTGGGCCGTCCTGTGCGCTCTAACCCCTCCGTCCCCCCCCCCCGTCCAGACCCAGGGAGGGGGGGGAGGTGCACCTCCCCGACGGGAAGAGGCTTGTTTTGACGAGGAAATGCAGAAGTCGCTAGACCACCTAAGTCCAAAAAGCTGCTGACATTCAGTCTTAAGGGTGCGTTGGCGTGCGCTGGCGTCTGGTAGTCGATGAGAACGCGCCGATGCAGCATCGATTAGCATCGAAGAATCGTCGATATAGCGTCGATTGGCGTCGATTACGGTCGGTCAGCGTCGATTCGAAAGAGCCAGCAGGATGGCGCGGGAGGCCCCCGTAAGTTGCCACTGGAGGCGAAACGCGTATCCGTATCCGCGGCCTCGCGGGCCAGGCCCCTGGGCGGCGAACCCACGGCCCCACGCGGAACGTCTCCTTGCGACCGCGCATCCGCGGGATCGCGCTTCCGGGGCCCAGACCGCGAGGGCGCGGGTGCTGATGCGTGCGCCGCTCGTAAGGTGGGCGGCGTGGCGGGGGGCCGCCGCGGACGCACAAGCGCCCTCGCGGAGGCCTTGGCCGCAGCTCAGGCCGCTCGGGCGCCGCTCCAGCACGAGCGGCGCGGGAGAAAGCTGGGTCGGCCGCCGCGGACTGCGGCGCCGTGAGTTGCCCGCGTGAGGTCGCGGCGTGATTGCGAACTTCTCCGTGTCCGTGCGAGGATCTTCAGGACGTGTGTTAGCCGAGCGTGTTTACCCCGTTCAGTTCCGCTAGCAGCACGCAGCCTTTGTTGGCCTCATTAGCTACGCCAGGGGTCGACCTAAACGGCGTTTTGGCGATTCCTGGCCGAGTTCGTTTCGATTCCGTTCTGCAGCAAACGTGGATTGGAGACAACACGAGGGAAAACGACAACGAAACGATAACGAAAAACGCTGTTCAGGTCGATCCCTGAGCTACGCCTGCGTCGCATTGGAGGGCTTCGGCGGACAGACAATCATTGGCGCTTACACGGACGTTCTGAGGATCAACGATCGACGCGCCGCGTGCCGCGCCGGCGGCCTGCGCATGCCACCGCGTGAGGTCGCCATGGGCTCTCGCGCAGGGCCCTCTGTCTCTGTGTCGCCTGGGTGGGGCCAGTGCCGGCTCAATTGTGGGGGAAGGGACCTCCCCGACCCCCACGGCTGGCGTTTATGGAACTGTCTCGTGCGATTGCCGAGCAGCCCTGTCCGAGTCGATCCCCTCCCTGGGCGCGGTCATCAAAACGGCTGGGGTTGTAGGGGTGCTCGTGCTGTGGATGGTTTTGCTCTTCCACCTCCTGTGGGGTCGGAGGGTCGCGCGTTGCTGGCGGTGTGGCGCGATCCGGGGCCCGATCTTCTCCATCGCTGGTGCATGGCCGATGCATCGGCGAGGCTGCGCGGTCCTGCGGCTCCGTTTTTTCCGGCCGCATTTGGGCTGCCTCAACAGACGCCGCTGCGCAAGCGCGTGTGCTTCAGTCACGAGATTCCTGACACGCTCGACGTGACGCCGTACTCCAGCCACTACGGCATCCACCCGAACTTTTTCGATTTCGACCGGGACGGAGACATGAGGCTCACCTTCACGGGCATTGCGGAGGTGTTCCGACGCAAGGAGGCAGGCTTGGCACCCCTAGAGGAAGACATGCAAGAGTTTTTGAACCCCGCATGCGCCGCGGAGTTCTGAGATGAGGCCAGGAGGGCCCTGCATATTGCGGTATTCAGATCGACCGCGTCTAATGGCGTGTACGACGACAGCTTTCCACGAAAGGACATCGCCTCTCCGCCTTGGACTGCATTTTTGATTTCCGAGCATGGGCTCGCAAGGCATCATTCCCCCAAGAGTGCTTGCACTCAAAAGGGTTCTTTCTTCGGTGTCCTAAAGAGTTGGATGGGTGTGCTCGGTGCTCGCCTGCCGCCCAGTTGGCGGGAGCCCGCGGGCGCCTCGTGAGCGCCTCGGGTTGGGTGGGTGTGCCGAGGTGCCGCCTGGCGCTCGCCCGTGAGCGTTCGTGGGCGCCTCGTGGGCGCTCTGCGCTCTGGGTGGCTGTGCCCCGAGGTGTTGCCCGGTGCCCGCTCGAAGGCGCCTCGTGCGCTGGGCGGGTGTGCCGAGGCGTCGCCAGAGGTGCCCGCCCGCTGGCGCCTCGTGGTCGCCTCGTGCGCTGGGTGGGTGCGCCGAGGTGTCGCCGGGTGCCCGCCCGTGGCCGCCCGTGGGCGCCGCGTGGGCGCTTCATGCGCTGGGCGGCTGCCCAGATCGTGCTGCACGGCCTGCACCAGGCAGTTCTGACCACAAGGCTTGCACGACGTAGCAGGCCCCGCGTAGCCTACACCAACCAGCTTGCACGGCATAGCTTGCCTACACCACATGGTTTGCACCGCAGAGCTTGCACCGCAAAGCCTGCACCACACACACACACACATATATATATATAGAGAGAGAGAGAGAGAGAGATTGCACCGCATAGCTTGCTCGACATAGCGTACACCACACAACCTGCACATCAGCAGCCCAACAACTTATTGCGTGGGCTCTGCGCTGGCACACGTTTTGAAATCGCTGCAGCATCTTTGCTGCTGCTGGTCCCACGCACTCTCCGCTGCCGTGCTCCAAGCTCTCTGTGCCACGATGCCGGAAGTTTGGGCTTGTGGTGCCCCACCAGCGGCGAGGGAGTGAGGGCGAAGCCGATGTTTCCTTGGCTTCCTTTCTCATCCGTTCTTTGCCCCTCGTCCTACCACTCCCCCTCAGGCTGTCCGTTGTCGATTGAGGTGGCGGATCGAACATCATGTGCGGTGGTGCTTCGACAGGGCCACGCAGCGTGGAGAGCCGTGTCGCACATCGTCCCGATTAGTGCGCCCTCTCTCGAGTTGTCGGCTCGGCTGCGCTTCTCTCGCTAACCGCACTGCACAGAGCAGCCGCACATCGGTGTGCGGTCGAGGTACATCTTCGTTCTGCAACAGGCGGGCACGGCCCGAACTCGCAGTCCTTCTCCATCGCTGCGCCGTCTATTCCTCTTCCTCCTCCTCCTCTGCCCTCAGCTACGGTTACGCCTCCGCTTCGTCGTCGATCTCTTCCTCCTTCTCCTCCTCCTTTCTCGAGGACAGGGAACTGCATGTGGCATAAGCATACACCGTCACATGTTTGCTCGGGTTTCTTGGGTCAGCGCTGGACGTTCGCCCTTACACCTCTTCGGATGTGGGGAGCGGGGCCCAGCGCTGGCCAAGCACTCCGCGCTGACCTCTGAAGTGTTAGTCTCATGCGGGTTTGTGGCCCTGCGTTCCTCATGCCGCCTGTTTCGACTCGTAGCCCGCGACCTGCGACAAGCCCCGCCTCAGTGCAAGCGAAAGAGGAGCAGGAAGCAGGCTGAGTGCGAGTCCCCCCTCCAGTTCGTTGCCCTGTCTCCACTGGCACCTTTCTTGAACGAGCGCTTCCTGTCCGCAGTTCTCTCCTCCTCCCTTCCCCCATGCGACAGATGAATGTGTTCCCATCCGTGGCCCCTAGAGGTCTCGACCCCTTCCGTTCGAGAAGCGATCCGTCCCCGAACGATGTGTCGCATGGTCCCGGGGCTGGCAGAAGAGCCCCAGAGGCCGAGACAGCGTAACAGGTTCAGCCACGTCTCGTTGGCCCGAGCCATATGCGCATTCATCGTCTGCGACCCCGTGGGTTCCTCGCCGTTTGGATTCCTCGGCTGCGACCCCGTAGACGCAGCAGATGGGGTTTTCGCGGATGCCCCGCGCGGTGCTTATCCATGGGACAGTGTATCCATGGGATCGCAAATCCATGGGGTCGCACCTCGCTATCTGGACCGCGATGGCATGGATGTTCATAGTTATGTATGTCGCGTGTGAACAACTGGCGTAGCTGTGGTCCTTACACTCCTGAAGGATCCATCGGCTTCGGCACTCCTCTCGAGAGATCGTCGAATCGTCGACGCGATTTGTTTCCGCAGGGGTGCTCGAAGGGACACAGCTCTCCCAGTTGTGGCTGGCTGGGCTGGAGCGAGGGATGGAAAGGGATGGAGGAACCAGGGAGCGTGAGAAGTGGAGGGGTCGGGGCTCAAGGGGCAGGGGTCAGTGCAAACGGGGGTCAGTCAGAGCGCTAGATTTTGCAGGATCCTGCCGAGCCAGGAGTGCACTGACCTGGGTATGAGTGCAGGATCCTGCAGGATTCTGCAAGGCCCGACTGATCTGGGTTTGCACTGACCTGGGTCAGTGCGTCCCCGAAGGGAGAGGCAAACCCTTCTGCTCGCGCGGAGTACGCCTCCAGCTAGGAAGGCCCTTGGATAGCATTCCATGGGCTATTCTTTGATCAGTTCCTCCTCCAGGGAGGGGGAGGGAGGGAGGGGAGGGGAGGGTGAGGGGTGTGCACGCTTCTCCTTCTCCTCATCACCCATCTTTGTCCTCCTCCTCCGTCCTCCTCCTCCTTCTCCTCCTCCTCCTCCTCCCTCTCCTCCTTCGCTTCCTTCCTCCTTCAAGGCAGCGCACACATGGATTAGGGCGCTTGGATTCGTGACGGGCCCCGTTTCCATGCCGAATCGGCGCGCTCCGTCACCAAATCGGGCGACACCATCGCCTTATTGCAGCGATCACGCTTCCCGATCCGTGGACCTGGCGCACCCGCGCCCGATCCACGATCCACGGATCCCCAATCCGTGTCAGGGTGCGCCCGGTTTGTCCTCCTTCTCCTCCCTCCTCCTCCGTCTTTTTTTCCCTGAGGTGGATATCCTTTTTCAATGTTGCATTCCCTTCGCTGAACGCAGCCGCACATCGGTGTGCGGTCGAGGTCCACCCGCGTTCTTCAGCGCACGGGCACGGCCCCAGCTTGTACTGCCGTGTCGCCGAGGGTGTGGGCGATGGGCGTGAGGAGGGAAAGGGGAAGGGGAGGGATGGCGACGAAGGAGATGGCGAGAAGGGACGGGACGGGAGGAGAGGTGATAGAGACCCAGACCCCCCCTCGGGTGATGAAAAAACGCGACGGGAGGTGCTTCGGAACTCTCGGTCTCTGTGGGCCCTCACCGGGCCTCGGGAGCGCCACGAAACGACTCGGGGTAAGAAGCCAGTGCCCGAGAAGGGGTCCAAACCCCCGGGGGCCCACGTCGTGAAGAGATAACGACGCCGGGGGGGCTTGGGGAGCGGGAGGGAGGCAGGGCCCGGAAGCAGGAGATGCAGAGGGCCACGGCAGAGTCATGGCGCACAGCCCTCTGCAGCCGAAGCGATAGGTGACGGACCAAAATAGTGCCCGAACACGTGTCCGAAAAACTGTGACCGGCAAAGTACTGCGGACAGGTGTCGGTCATTCTCGCTGGCGCGCTCGGACAGAATCGGGCGCCGCTTTATGCCACACTCGGGCCGATGTGTTCGGGCACCGCTTCGGTCACTATACCCCCCTGGTAGAGACGAGACCACATGAGGTGAAGGAAGAAGTGCGGGACCACGACCAAGCTGTCGCGGGATTGTGTCGATGCCGAACTTGGGCATCGTCCGTGTCGGCCGTCGCCGACTCGCGAGGATGATCCACGAATTGGCGCCGGAGGTCGACGGCCAGGGTTGACACGACGTCTCCGCGTTCAGTCCTGGTCGTGGCCCCCGCTGCCTTCCCCCCCCAGTTCGCCGAGGGGGCAGGGGCGGGACTGAAGGCGAGGTGCGCAGGAGGCGGGCCGAGGGAGGGCGCAGCTCTCCTCCGCGGGCGGTCACTCGGCTCGGCGCGCGTGTTCCCCACGGGGGCTGGTCGGGGGCTCCGGAGGCGACGCCCCAGGAGGTCAGGTGTTGGCTCTTACCCTTTTCCCAAATCCGTTTTTTGCTCGGGCTCAATCCCGATTAATCCGTCTTAATCCCGCTACGTATGGCCTAATCCCGCTTAGTCTGCGGCCTAATCTGGCGTGGCAGCCCCCCAATGGAGCTTAGTCCTCCTCAACCCTTCCGACGAAGACCTCCCAATAGTTGCCTCCTAAGGGGGCTGTTGGCCTTGAAGGGGGGCGCTCCCGAGTCGCGCATCCTGCAAATGTACCGCGGGCCGAGCTTCTGGTCGACTCGAAAACCAGGTCGAAGCGTACCCTTATCCCAATTATTGTCATCTTCTTCTCTCGGTGCCGATCTCAAGGATTCCCCCAGCTCAGTTTCTGGAGGCACAGACCTTAGATTGTCATCGCCTTGGGCTTGTCGGTCTTAGGGATAGGGATACATTCGCGGCAAGTGATCACGCAATCAGATCGGGGGATGCCGTGGTCGGCTTTTTGAGTGGAGGGAGCTCGTCGATTTCGGTCAGATCTGGGGCCCCAAGCCCTTGTGCTCCCCGTGTTCGCCACTGCGAACAGCGCGGACGTCAAGAATGTATGCCCGCGCGCAAAGGTACCCCGGCCGCCAGGCCCAGAGCGTGCCGGTGCGCCCTGGACATCCCGCCTCGCGTTTTCGACAGATGACGACTGTATACCGATGCCTCCAGGCCCAGAGTGTGCCAGCGCGTTCTTGGGGGTTCCGCCTCGCGTTCTTGGGTGGCGGTGGAGACGGCATGTGTTTCGCTGGCGTTCTCAGCGCGTCATTTCCGGCATTTTTTTGACGGCATTTTTTTGAGCCCAGGATGCGCCCCGCCCGCGCAACCGTCCGTGGCTCGACATGCCGCTCCGCTCGCGCGTCACTGGACGGCGAGGTACGTGCCCGCTTTTTGAAGCGGAGGGGCGGAAGACCCACCACGGCCTCCGGGTTTGCAGCCGCGTTGTCTAAGAATTTGCGCGTGTGTGTGGGCGACGCGGACCAGACAGAGGCGGCGCGCAGAAGGAAACGTTGCGTTCTCGTCAGAGTGCCCTGGGTTTCTTCGCTGCGCGCGCTGCGCGGTGACTTCCAAGAGCGCTGCGAAACTGCTGCGTTCAGGGTGCTGTTTGTCTCCCCCTGGTTTCGAATAGGGGATAGATTAGTTTTCTAGTCGAATGTACGACACATACGTAGAATGCTGGTCGACCATTCCAGTATATTTCGTCGATTCGACGACAGGGTTGTGTTTTTCTTGCCAGGTTTTCTCGCGGCCGTGGATCGTGCCTCTGCTGGTGCCAGGATTAGTGCGTATGCTGCGTCCTGGCTAGGCCAAGGTGGCGTGTATACGGTAGGTTCACACAGCGATGGCCCGCGATGGCGCGCTGGCGACGCCGGCGAAGGCATTCAAGGTTGTACTCCGCATGATCGGACGACGTGGAAGCACTGAGGGACACGGTATAACGCCACAGACCCCGAGGGAATTCAACCTTGAACGATCGGGGCCACGATAGGTTGAACGATCGAGGGGTGCCAAAAACCTTTGCGCGCGCCGACGCCATCGAGCGTACCGTACTAACATTGAGCTCTGGGATTGGCCTGGCCGAGACCTGCAGTGGCGTGTGCCTGCCATAGCCGTCCACTGGGCCGGTGCTCGCGTCTCCAGACATCCGACGATCCGACTGGCGAGCCGCCGGCCCCTCCGCGGGGTCGCTTTCTCACCGTGGGCGTGGGCGCCTCGCTGCTTCTTATCCCCTCCCGGAGGGTGTCAACTGAGTCATCCAACACCTAGTTGCAGTCAGCCCAGATTAGCAGGTCGACCCTGCCCGGGTACACTTGTGTCCTATGCATCGCGCGTGTCCTCTGCAGTCCCGGTGCAAGGTACCCTGGTTGGAAGCCATGTTGCCATCGGAAGAGCTTTCTGTCCCGTCGCGCGTCCTGTGCGATCAGTCTTGCCTGTGTGTGTGTGTCCACCGATCCTTGCCAAGCCGATCCTGGGCCGAGGATCGGTGAACCTCTGCCGTCATGGCCAAGCCAGGAGGGGTTGCGGTGCACGCCGATCCTGTGCCCAGGACGGGCCTGGCAATGATCGGTGCTGGTCCGTATGTGGCGGCATGCCGTGTCCCCTCCCCTTCCCCCTCGTGGAAGCCCGCCCCAATTTGACCGAGCGGGAAACGCCGATTGTGTCCATTGGGCTCGTGGTTCGGAGGAGACAAGAAGGACGAGGCCGACGACAAGGCGGCGGATGACGAGGGTGCAGATGGATGACGGGGAGGGCAGCGAGGGGTGCTGGAGGACAACGTTGCCCCCCCCCCTCCCCCTCTTGAAGGCCCGCCCCCATCTATCTGAGCTGCCCGCGTCCGCTCGGAGCACTTTGCGCCGCCGTGGATTACTGGAATAGCCAGCTGCGCTGTCGCGCGAATGCGCCACCGCGCTGGGGCGGGCTCCCCGAGGCGGGGGTGGTGGGGGGAAGGGGGAGCGAAGATCGGCGGCGAGCCCCGGGGGGGGAGCGAGAGGGGGGCACTCATGCAGATCTCGCACACAGCGTGCGGTCGAGTGGCAGATCGACTACACAACTGATGTACCCCAGCTTTGTTGGTTCCGTCGGACCTGCACAGCCTACGTGGACTGCTCCGTAGATCTGAGGACCATTCTACGCACTTGTCGTGGACTTTCGAAAAAAACAGCAGTATGGGGTACATTGAATCTGCCGTCGCTCTCCTACTCGGATCGTGGGTCAAAAGGGCCACGCACACAGCAGAGGCGGCGTGTGAGCGCGAAGGAATGAGAAGTTGATTGGATCTGCAACAAGAGCGCACAGAAACGCTAAGACAGAAATCCGAGCATGCCGCAGGTAGTCTGTGGGCCCGCCGGGTGTTGCGGCGGGCTCCGTCTGGACAGTGGCAGGAGGGACGGCCGCGCAAACGATGGATAGACTGACTTGACTTTCCATTTGTCATACAGCAATTACGACATCATGCGCAGAGTTGTGAGGATCGCGTGAAAGAATTGGCAGCGGCTTTTTTGTTTCTTCGGCAGCCCTCCATGGTGCGGATGTCCCGCACGCCGCTCCTCCTCTTCCTCCTCCTCCTCCCTTCCTCCTCCCCTCCCTTCCTCCTCCTCCTCCTCCTCCTCCTCCTCCTCCTCCTCGGTATCTTGTTCGAGTCGTGATACTGGAACGGTGTGGCTTCCCTGGCAACCGGGCGGCCCCCGAGCACAGCGTGGTGCTCACGTGCACGGCGTGGTGTTCGCACAGGTCCTTGCCGTGGTGCGCCTCGACGCCAGCGGCGTGGGCGCC